GTGCTCAGGTGAAGTCAGTGATCAGGTGAAGTCAGTGCTCAGGTGGAGTCAGTGCTCAGGTGAAGTCAGTGATCAGGTGGAGTCAGTGCTCAGGTGAAGTCAGTGATCAGGTGGAGTCAGTGCTCAGGTGGAGTCAGTGCTCAGGTGAAGTCAGTGCAGGTGGAGTCAGTGCTCAGGTGAAGTCAGTGCTCAGGTGNTTTCATGTTGTGTAGTTGTTGTGTAGTTGTGTTACCGAGGCTCTCTTGCTGTGACAGTAGCTGTTGTCTGTTGTGTAGTTGTTTTATGTTGTGTAGTTGTGTTACCGAGGCTCTCTTGCTGTGACAGTAGCTGTTGTCTGTTGTGTAGTTGTTTTATGTTGTGTAGTTGTGTTACCGAGGCTCTCTTGCTGTGACAGTAGCTGTTGCCTGTTGTGTAGTTGTTTTAAGTTGTGTAGTTGTTGTGTAGTTGTGTTACCGAGGCTCTCTTGCTGTGACAGTAGCTGCACCACGCTTGCGGCTCCAGGATGAACACGCCTCTTGCAGACAGGCTCTGATAGGCTCGTTTGAACAGTCTGGCCACGCCCCCATCACCTGACTGCAGCTGCACCCATTTGGTCACACCCAGACATGTGATGACATCATACTGACCCCGCCCTGGCCACGTCCGTCCCTCTGACACATAATCACCCTGTGGGAGGAGTCAAAATGGATGCAGTTACCATGGAGGTGATGATGATGATGATGATGAGACAGGTGAGGACTAGAGGCAGGCAGGACTCACCTGGATGAAGGTGATGTTGTTGGGGAACCTGGAAGATGAAGACGAGGAAGAAGAGAAAAGGGGTGGAGCCGCCAGAGGACCTCGGCTCACCSTGAAGGACAGAGGGAGGGGGCGGGACGTCCCCTGCTTCCTGCCCCTCTCCGTCAGCACAAGGTCATGTGACAGGAAGTGCCTGATGTTCTGCCTGGCAGCATGGACCAGTTTCTCATCTAGCTCCACCCCCAGGATGTGGGCGGGGTTAAACCTCAGGGCCAGAGCCAGGGTCATGTGACCAGTACCACAACCAATATCCAACACCGTCTTGTCTGTGAACCAATCAGCTTCCAGGAGGCGGAGCCTCATGTCCCTCTCTTCACCGACCCGCCCCTCWTGCTGGTCACCGTAGACGCCGTGGTAACCATAGTAATGGGAGTGGTTACCATACTGGTACCGGTGYTTGTTCTTCTTCTGTGGTGTCCGAGCCGTGCAGCGCTGAGGTTCACCACACCTGTAGGAACACCAGGTTACCTGAATGTAACCTCCAATCAGTCCAAGAGATGTACCATGTTTATTTGTATGAAAAGTACCAGCTATTCATAGTACCTCATTAAACTACATCCCTTCCAGGTATAAAAACTTTTCTTACTAAATTTATCCTGGACACAAAGTCAGAATTCAAGATTAATGCTAAAAATCATGGCTTTGACTATGTCTATACAATATCTGACTGCAATCACCACATCTTTTACTTCAGATCTTTTTTATACCAAAATGTTAAAAACTGATTACTTAACTAAATCCAGGTAACTGATAATGAACTTATTTAACTAACTTATACTTGAAGATTTACAGCTGGCATACTCAAAAACTAGGAATGTGTGATATAAACGATATACGGTAGAAACGATATAAATTTGTCCTATGATACAGATCTGTAGTCTACCAGACAACCACACAATTCTTTGTGATGATGTAACC